TGTACCCCACAGTCAGGTATACTACAAATACCGTCACAATGTACCCCGTAGTCAGGTATACTACAAATACCGTCACAATGTACCCCGTAGTCAGGTATACTACAAATACTGTCACAATGTACCCCGTAGTCAGGTATACTACAAATACCGTCACAATGTACCCCGTAGTCAGGTATACTACAAATACCGTCACAATGTACACCGTAGTCAGGTATACTACAAATACCGTCACAATGTACCCCACAGTCAGGTATACTACAAATATCGTCACAATGTACCCCACAGTCAGGTATACTACAAATACCGTCACAATGTACCCCGTAGTCAGGTATACTACAAATACCGTCACAATGTACCCCGTAGTCAGGTATACTACAAATACCGTCACAATGTACCCCGTAGTCAGGTATACTACAAATACCGTCACAATGTACCCCATAGTAAGGTATAATACAAATACCGTCACAATGTACCCCATAGTAAGGTACATGTATAATACAAAAGTGATACCAACATGCAGAACACAATGGGATATAGCATGGTATTCTCTTAATAACTTGGCAAGAAATAATGTTTCTATTCATGTTATCTATGTCTATATGTCTGTCGAGTTTCTGTGTTTGTTATGAACGTAAAGTCATATGCAAATATGTAGCTTTATAGGCATCTAGTGAAGAATTCAGACAAACCGATGCTAGGAGCCGTGTTGTAGATAGCTTTATAGACATCTAGTGAAGAATTCAGACCAAACTGATGCATGAAGCCGTGTTGAAGACCTCGCTAGAACCTGATATTCAACAGATTATTATTATATCTATAACTTACTTACTACAATTTTAGTAAAAATGAAAAATGACCTTCAAAAGCGATGGTTGTCAATGGCCAAGAAGCCTCCGTTTTTTCATACGGGTTATATTATTTCTATGGATGTCAGCATGGTATTGTGGTCCTAATCATTTGCTATATATTTCAAATGAAATAACTGCGCAGTAAAAACGAAAAATATATATATATTTATAATGGCCAAAAGCAAACGGTGTTTTTGTTTTATTTTGTTTTTGTCACTTTTTCCAATACAATGTAAAGATGATACGCATGCTCACCGAATTGAGCTCTATCTAAGAGCTATAGTTATTGATCATTTTTTATACTATTGTTTTTTCTCCTATTATGGTTTACAATTTGGTAATATTACCTGACATGTCTGTTCTTCGGATCGAATTAAATCATTTTTGTGCCGTTGCTGTGTGTTTATTTCTAGACAAAACTCATTAGAATCGTAAAGGTCAAAGATGAGGACCGCTAAAAAGTAAAATTTACTGATACGTACGTCATTTTTGGTTGACTTTTGTACCAATTACGTACAAATGCAGTTCAAAATAATGAGAATTTAATCAGTCAACTCGTGAAATATTGCCAGTTGAAAAGGTTGGTGTTGAAGACAGTTCTTTGACACGATTTATTTAATTAATTCAAAACTTCATTTGGCAATGGGCAAAAACAAAACACTATGGTAAATTAAAAAGGTGGGAAGTCTGAAAAAATCAAACTTGGACTATATCAATCAACGAAACGAATGGAGCACAACTGACTTATTCCTAACTTGTTACAAGCATTTTCCGAAGAAATATGGTTGGTTTAATCTGGTTTTATAGCTAGCTATACCTCCCACGTGTATGACAGTTGTTTATAGTTCCGTTATATTGGGTGAGCAACCTAAACAGACCTAATTTGTTGATATGACAATAATCGGGATCCAGCAACCAACATCAATTGTGTAAACGTTTATCACGGATATACAACACAACTGAAAACAATTCAAACAAACATACAAATAAATCTGACAAAGACGCAAAAAAAAACAGGTTAATGTTTTAGTCCTTGATATATTTTATAGACACCTGTCAGTTGTTAAATACTTGCTGTACCATAACCTCGACTAGATGTTTTTTGATGATTTGTGTCGTTGGTTTACTGTCTCACTGAGGTATATCCCAGTTATCTCCTCATTCATAGTCATCAAGTTTATCATTAAAAACAATTGGATCAATTGCCTTTTATTCACTTCATTCACATTTTTTATCCTAAGTTTCACTGCTACAAAGGTCACGATCCGACTGTTTCGCCGATAGGGACGGATAAGTGTGATATCAACAAGGATTCAATTCAATATTCCATATTACACATTATATATTAATGTATTTTGTCGGGAGTTTCTCCTTATCATTTACACGTTCTTTCCTGTAGGCGTTAGTTTTTATTTATTCTTTATCTATCCACCAATTATACTTGTTCAAGTTAGTGACATGACATCATCGACATTATTTTATCCACTTTCCCCCAGCGATCTCATTTCTATTGATATTCAAGGTTATGAAACATGTATACTATAGAGAGAGAACAGATTCGAGTGATAGGAATATAATGGTAACCCTGTGTCTGGACTTTTGATATCGGAAACCTTTATCCTGAAATGGACAATTGGTAATTTACTTTTGATGTACAAGCAGGGTTTCTATAGCCAGTCGATGAGGAATTATTCTATCTTGCAATCGACAAATAAAACTTGTTTATTTGTGGTATATGTGTTTTATTATATTTCTAACTCACTTTTCATGATAATTTGTGGGCTTTACGTTTCCATTTTAATATGAAATTCCATATAATATGATACATTGTGTGACTCCAACATATTCACAAATTTTGCCATCCGTTTTAGTCAAATCAATGTTTAAAATTCAAAGCATTCTGGGTAATGATGTGTAAAATTTACACTTAAACACTATGGTACGCTACGTTCTGGACGGTGAAAATTGAAAAATATACAGGACAAATATTAGACTAAAATTCCAAAAGAGAAAAATAAACTTTCCTGATTAGAAAAGCAAGATAAACTTTCCTGAGTAGAAAAGCGAAGAACATTTCTTCTCAAGACTGGTATTTTCAGAAACACCCCTCCAGAACATGATATATCTGTTTAGTAAACCGAAAATCAGTAGAGACAAATCTCTGCCCCTATCCAACTTGCCCCAGAGACAGTCTAAATTTTTCTACCCTCATCCAAGTTGAACCATGTTGTTCTCGTAATGATTAGGCGTGAAATATTTACCACTGGACGTTAAGCAAATAAGAATTAATCAACTACTCTTAGATCGGTACACTGCGTCTTTTTTTCAAGAGGTTTGTGTGCGGACTGACAAGTGAAGCCTTTATCCAACTGATAGGATCATTCAATGGGAATACCTATGTATACAGGTGTTCGAATTTAAAACATATATTTAACCTGTGGATTCAGTAATTACATACCGGTCGTATATTTGTTGCTCTTTTTTTCTAATCTTCACACGAAGAATATACATTATAAAATTTGTTTTTTATGTGTGTTTTATGATTATAAAAATAAGGAGATGTGGTATGATTGCCAATGAGACAACTATCCACCAAAGTTCAAATGAAGTGGATGTAAGCAATTATAGGCAACCGTACGGCCTTCAACAATAAGAAAAACCCATACCGTATGGTCGGATATAAAAGGCCCCGACATGAAAAATATGAAACAATTCAATTGAGAAAACTAACGGCCTAATTTATAACAAAACAATTTACGAAAAACAAATAGGACAGACATAAACCAACGACAACAACTAAACTACAGGCTCCTGACTATGGACAGGCACATAGAGAATGTGGCGGGGTTAAACATGTTTGCAAGCGCTCAACTCAATGTAAAATTTAGGATGTGCTATTACGTTTGAAATAAGTTTTCTACAGGTAGAGCCAAACTTGCAGACCAAATCTTTGTATCTATGGAAGAATTTAGTAAAGGTTTTAAGTAATTTGTGGTAACGAAATCCCTGACTTAATAATTTACTAGTAATGCATAGATTACGCTCATTGAAATCCAAAACGTCACTACAGACACGAGCATAGCGAACGAGTTGGAATATATAAACACCGTAAGACGGTGCCAAAGGAACATCACCGTCCAAAAAAGGAAAATTAACATATACATAGCGAAAGAAAAATCGTCCCTTTTGTCGTAAATTTTTGTGTAGAGTTTCTGGTGTAATACTGAAATATCTAAATCTAGGAAAGGACAATTATTGCTGTTAATATTTGATTAATTTAAAGTAAGTTCCTTTGGGTAAGTTTCAGCAGTATAATTAGAGAATTCTTGATTATTTAACGAAAAAATATATCATCAAGATAACGGTAAGTGTTGTTGAATTTATCAATTAAATGGAATTTCGACGGTTCTTTACTGAGTTTGGCCATAACAGTAAAGGAACTAGTCTGCTATTAAAGGTGCACAATTGGTTGTATCCTAGGATTATAACTAAATGATTTCTTCGAAAAAAAACGCACCTGTTTCCTGAGTAGAAGGAATAAATAAACAGTCGAAATTTAATACAGCAAACTGTTTTTTCAATAAAGCCTTACAACCTAAAAACAGGTGTTCTTTTGAATTGAAAATATTCTTCTTTTGTCCAATGACATTTTCTTGAGCATTTCCTCCTATTTTTGTTATACTCGTTAATCGCAATTTAACATGCTTCTTATTTTCGCCGGTAAAGGAAGGATTTGTCGTACAAATAGGCTTCTCCGTTTTCATATACTATCAGCGGGGTGGGGCATATTTATGATAGATATCCTGTATTAGATGAATTCATTACATACGAATAGCCACTTGCAAAACTGTCGTCCTGCTGTAAGCTATATCATATATAAGAAGAAAAATTAATTTCCTTCAGTAGTAGTATCAAGCAGTAGAAAGGAATTCAATATCAGAGAAGATGTGTTGTTCGTGGGTGGCACGAGTCATGTTGTCGTCCCTTATAAGTTTAAGAGAAGCGAGTATGTCGTCCAGTTAAAGGTTTAAGAGAAACGAGTTAAGTTTATATCACTTCAAAACTCTCAAGTGGTCGACCTGTTGTTCTAAAGTGGATAACAGATAAAAATTGAACGTGCAATTAGGCAATAATAAAGAGAAGAGAACTTACCCACACACCATGGGGCTGTAAATAATAGAAATACTGCTCGATACATCATCATCTTCATACTGAAAAATCAATTCAAAACATAGTCATATGTTTTTTTCTGTAATAGAGTAATAAACATCATTGCTGTACTGATTTAAAGATGTTACATGACAACAACAACCCAAAGAACGTTCACAATACACAGGTATATACACACTGTCAATCACATGCATGGATACGAGTTGCGTGAAGTTTTGAAGATTTTGTAGGGTGTTATTGGATCATTATACTTCATTCCTCCAGGGGAGCTTACCTCGTGCTTCAGTGCCATACAATAGTCATATATCCAATATTGATTAAAGGAAGCCAACATTACTTTAAAATCAAGATCATATCCACCAGGGAAACCAAATGCCTATTTTATGGGAATTTCAATTAATGTCAAATTTTATCATACAATTTGTACTTAACATCGAAAGGCATGTATCTGTTTTTGAAACATTGAATCTTCTGAGACAAATCTATTAATGCATTAACTGCTCGTTTTTATATATGAAAGATATTGCTATTTCGGACAAGATAAAGCACATTTCAAAATTTTGAAATAAAACTTCCCTATAAGTAAGATGTAATGAACTAGATATTACAGTGGGTTTTACACGACAAAGAGTTGCTTTCGATTTTGTAAAACAAGTTACATATAACTTGACTGAATGAAACTAAAAAGTAAAATAACAAAAAAAAACGAACTCCAAGGAAAATTCAAAACGAAAAGTCCTTTATCAAATGGCAAAATTAAAAACTCAAACACACCAAACGAATGGAAACAACTGTCATATTCCTGACTTGGTACAGGCATTTCCTTATGTAGAAAATGGTGGATTAAACCTTATTTGTTGCTAGCTAAACCTCTCACTTGTATGACAGTCACATAGAATTCCATTATATTGACAACAATGTGTGAGCAAAACAAACAGACATAATAGGTAAAAATGTCAAAACTTGGGATACAGCAGTCAACATTATGTTATAATTTTAATCACTATAAAAACAAATAACTATTTCGACAAGTAAAAATAAAAATGGCATATAGACACTCCATAGACAAAGTACATGAGCACAAATGAAAGACAAGAATATAAAAATGACCATAGCACTTTAACACAATGGCGGGATATATAAATACCGAGCCACGCCAAAAGTATATAACCAAAATGGACTAAGCAGTTAAGGTTAAAAATATACAAAGACAAATAAAAAGAACATCATAAAAAGTAATTAAGATGATAAACAGCGTCAGTACCTAGAATCTATACTAAAATACTTAATATTCAGAAGCTTACAATAGTTTGTAATATCATCATCGTCATTACTATAAACATCGTTACTTTTATGATTATAATTATTGATTGGTTCATAAATGTTTTCTGATGTATGTTTTTTAGTTGTATTTTCCTATTGTTTTGTGTGTATCCCTATCGACACTAAAACGTAACGAGCTAAATATAAACGTAAAAAAAAGAAGATGCAAGGTATAATTCAACGAGAAACCAAAATAAGGATACAAATGACCAAAAACCATTTATCACATGTGGGGCATAATCTGCTAACCCTTCCGGAGCACCTGAGATCACCCCCAGTTTTTTGGTGGGTTTCGTTTTGCTCAGTCTTTAATTTTCTATGTTGTGTTTTGTGTACTTTTGCTTGTCTTCTGGTCTTTTTCCCTTTTTTTTTGCCATGGCTTTGTCAGTTTATTTTCGACTTATGAGTTTGAATGTCCCTTCGGTATCTTTCGCCTCTCTTTTATCATCAAATGGTTTGCACAATGGTTTGTAGTTCTACATATGTAATATGGTATGTTAAAGAAAAGGTAGCGCTCCGACATTCGAAGCTGTAATTAACACACGGCTGGTAACATAGATTGTTTTCGGCTTTGGCTAAAATATGTCTGTCCAATTTGGGTTCTTTTCGTAAATATTGTTGATAAATAGGTCGTTAGTTTTCTCATTTGGATTGTTTCACATTTTTCATGTCGGGGCATTTTATAGCTGACTATACTATATCTGGACTATGTTGGCAATCAAACCACATCTCCTTTTTCTTGATATTGAACAAGAAGATCTAGCTAACTAGGAATACATTATTTTAATGTACAATTGTTATCATGAAACAAAATTGGTCTAGCATATTAATCTATGATCCGAAATCCCTATATACACTACACAAAATCATAGCAAAGTATCAGTGCTTCTATTGCTATTCTTCGTCTTACAGTCATATGCTTTCAACATGAAGCTATGTATGTATAGCATCGTTGTATTCACCACTTGCAAGATTCGTAAAATATTGACTCTAACCTTATACTATGAATGATGAAAAATAATGAATTTAACGGGCCATTTGGTGAACTGTATTTATAGCACCATTGTATTCACCAAGATTGTAGAATGCCGAATGATATGTGTGCTTTAACCGTTTAATATGTATAATGAAAAAAAATGGAATTTAACAGACCTTTAGGGAGCCACCATTTAATTTTTATGGGGGGGGGGGGGGGGGGGGGCTAGGATGAAAAATTTTGTCCTGCATTTTTTTTTTAAGTTGTAATCTCTGTCCTGCATTTTTATTGCATTTTTGTTGTTGCCAAGTTGCTCATCCTGCCTTTTTTTACTCGAAACTCCTGTCCTGCCTTTTTCTCAAGTTTCATCCTAGCCCCCCTCCCCCATAAAAATCAAATGGTAGCTCCCTTAGTATATGGTGATTAATATATGTGCAACAGTAAATATAAAATTAATTTAGAATTAAAATTTAAAAAATCTATATTGCAACAATAGTTTAGAAAATATACTGAAATTATGCAAATGATGAACGAAAACTGTATAAGCAGAAAACTAAAATATTCGACGCCATTAAAAGTTATGATCCGTTAATAATTATTATCTGATATCTAAGTACAAAGTAATGTCATATTAAACATCAACCAACCGTGGGACAATGAACTATTGAAATATTTACGGAAACGACCAATGCTGCAAAAAAAAAAAGAATTACATCCAATGTTAAGGGAGCTACCATTTGATTTTTATGGGGGGGGGGGGGGGGGCTAGGATGAAAAATTTTGTCCTGCATTTTTTTTTTTTGTTGTAATCTCTATCCTGCCTTTTTATTTTCCACTGTATTCGGTCCTGCCTTTTTTTTTTTTTTTAGTTTATCCTGACTTTTTTTTACCTAAATTGTCATCCTGACTTTTTTTTTTTACTCAAAACTCCTGTCCTGCCTATTTTTTTCAAATTTCATCCTAGCCCCCCATAAAAATCAAATGGTAGCTCCCTAAAAGTACAATCAATTATATAAAGTGAAAAAACTCTCACCATTTACATTGTTATACATTCAATATTGGATAATTTATAAATGTTTTCATTTATAAAAGGATTTTACAAAAAGTCTTTTGATTCACACAAATCAATTATGTTTTATATTTTATAAATATACTGCTAAATATTTGCATAAAGCGATGCTATGCTTGATTATTTCGAACGAGATGACGAGATAAGATATCAATACTTTATATAAATATGTAAACGAGGATAAAGACAAATGATAACACATTACCAGTGCTTCGTTCTCTTATTGTTTCCAACTTTGTCTTATTTCATCTTTTCAAATATTATTACTTTAATTAACTTCTAGTATCCTTCAATTAAACCTGTTAAAGCATAGCTTTTAGATCTATGTGATTCTATTGAATATATGCTCAGAAACAAACGATTTAAAGTCTTGCTTTTAGATCTATGTGATTCTATTTCACTACGATCGATAGGATCAATTTCTCTTATGCAGATGATGCCATTTTGATGCACCCTTTTACTACTTTACATGATAACGGCTCCATTAATGCATTTTCTTCATTTGTTGTCTATTTAAACCTTAAATTGATTCTGTATTTCTTCCTTCCTTTTTTAACTTTAGAAACTAAAGTGTTCTTTGAATACGGGTTAAATAAATGCACAACAGAACTAGATATCGTTTAACCGTCTTGAATTTTCATCAATTATAAGAGCACTGGAGAACAAATTTACCTACTAAAGCCTTCATTTAAAAGCTATGCTATTACCACAATTGACATGCCGAGAGCCGGAGAGAGAAAAAGCATAAATAAATAAAATAATGAAAAAAAAAAAAGATTATCATTTTATCATTACTATTATTATTATTATTATACGAGGTGACGAAACAGATAATATGTGTCGCTCGTTTGCATTGTTGTCCTTACATCGAGTATTCATATGACAAGAAAACGAAAGGCGAAGATTCAAAACCCTAACCTGGGGAAAACTTATTCTGTCTAACACACAAAACCAGGCAAATAGCAATGTGCAGGTATTGTACTAGATTCGGCGGAAATTGAAAAGTTAAAAATAACTTGTATCTAGATGTCATTTGGATTATGTGTGTTTTGGGTTGCTGTCTCACTGAAGCATACCATGTACCTCACTGTATTTATATTATAATCAAGAAAATATGACTACAGTAATTACTAAAAAAAATTGCGTCATAAAGATCGGACAATTCTTGTGTAGTGAAAATTTCAATATAGGTTCACCACGTAAAGTGCGGTATCACGTGGATTTCTTTAGTGGTGAATTATCTGTGAGATGTAAAAACTTTATGCAGGTGATGCCAAAATCTTGCCAAACATTTGAGTACCAATAATTTAATACTCATTATATAGGATTTGCTTAATTTAATTAATTTTTTTAATTTTACAAAATTCATTACGCTTGATGAGATGTAACATTAATATAAGAAATGAGCTCCACTCTCTGTAAAATGGAGGCTTTGGAACTGTCGTACAAAATATATGATAAGGAGAAATAGTCCATATATTTGCTTGGGAAAGCTTAAGCGAACTTGAGAACATTACAAATTGTCATTGGGTTGTTTCTGTGCGATTAATTTGATAATGCATAGTTTTATTTCTTGTTTTTGCTATATTCTTGTCCAGTAATTTACATTAAATATAAAATTAAGAAGATGTGGTATGATTGCCAATGAGACATCTCTCCACAAGAGACCAAAATGACACAGAAATTAATTATTATATGATATACAGCAACAAACGACAATTACTAAATTACAGGCTCCTGACTTGGGACAGGCACATAGAGAATGTGGCAGGGTTAAACATGTTAGTGGGCGCCCAATCCCCCTTACCTGAGACAGTGGTGTAACAGTACAACATATGAACAAACGATAAAAATTAGTTGAAAAAGGCTAAACTGATCAGATAGATATAAAGCAAAAACAAGTAACAAAAACACAGAGTGGACGTGGCAGGGTACATCCCCACAAAAAAAAGACACTAAGTACAGATCTGAGAGTACTCGCAGTTACTGACAGCTAGTGCATAGCCAATAACAACTAATAAAAAATCATGCATCCAAGACTAAAAGACCCCCTCCCTTTTTTTCACAGCTACACTGTGACCTGTCTGAAAGCACCAAAAAGAAGGGACCAGAATCATTGGATTAGACGAATAAATACTTGATTAGGCTAACGTTATTATCTATATATTGGTATTGATAGTCCCTAAACTGACAAACATAAAACTCTATCAAAGTCACATCATTGAGATATGTCAATGATAATTTATATCACTTCACCGTGTAACAATCAAATATATTTACATTTCTCTTCATTAAGTTACCGGTTACAGTGCAAAGTGGAACTTGACTTTAAATGAGCGTGGATTAGGGAACCAGGACAAATGGAATCTTCCGCAATAATACTTAGGAACAGGGAATAACGGTAACTATATCGAACTTCAAGTACTACATGCTATGGATTAAAAAACACCTAGGTTTTAATAGAAAAAGTTTTGGACTCGATTTTTAAACAATTTAACAAAATACTTGACAACTGAAATACCTAAGGTACTTTTTACTCAATTATTTCCCTCAAATGAGAGTCTGTCAAGTAAGTAATCAAAAATCAATTTTGAGTTGTCTCTTGGTGTTAGGTAATGTGACAAGATATATGTTTTAGCTTAAGTTGTTGAAGATATTGATTGCCACGAAAAAATATAAATAGATTATTAAACTATTATCTAGGGACATTTGATTTAGAGAGAGTGTCTGGAATACGTATCGCATATAGTTTTACTTTCGGCGTCTTTGTATTGATCTTCTTCGAACCCACTGTGTAATTACGGGACTGACTTCATGGTTTTATATTTCTTAGATCATAAACCATTGCACGTAATGTTAACTTTCAACCCATGACGTCATCTTATCGCATTCGATCCAGCTGATAAGATGAAGTGCATTTTGTAAACATCCCCACAACTTTTGTATCGTTTAATATTTATCGTTTCTATATCTGATGTAACTTTATCAATATTTCATATCAAACTTTTATTGGGAGTACTTGTGCATAATTGTGTGCTGATCAAATTTGATATCAGCATTTCAAAGATACAGTTTGGGAAAGCTTCTCTATGACGGTGATAGTGACGAACAGTACTTTAACCCAATATATTAATAATGCATATGTCAGGAGAAACTTGCTATAAATATTGGGTATAATCCAAAGTCACGTGATTAATATAACACGGAACAATATTAATATTTAAAAAGTCAGATAGCCGTACGTGTATGTAATTATTTTAGAAGAAACTAACACCAAATTTGACAATAATAAGGACAAAATAATCAATATAGTCTATAGTAGAACAAAATTTAAAAAAAACTTGTTCAGTAAACGTATTTATATAAAAATAGGGAGACGTGGATCACGGTATTCAAATATAGGTCAAAGTACGGCTTCCAACTATGAGCAAAGCCCATACAAACTGTATAGTCAGTTATAAAGGGCCCGACATGACAAAATGTGAAACAATTCAAACATGAAAACGAAACGGTCAGATTTATTATGACAATACAATTAACGAAAAACAACCATGACAGACAGCAACCAATGACAACCACTGATTTACAGTCTACAGGCACACCAGTAAAGAATAATTGAAACACCTTTGGGGTTAAAATGAAGTAGATACGTTTTATATTTACATGGGTTGCTAACTGAATTTAAACCAAATTTTCATTTAGACATATATGTGTATTTATAGAATGCTGGAAAATAATATTTTCTGTAAAATAAATTCATGTAAAAGTAATTCAAGACATTACAACATTGGAATTGTATGGTTTTGTAATAATAAGCTTTTTAACAGGTGAATATAAAAAAGACATAGTTCATGATTAAGGAGAGATATGCGGGTAATGAGGTTCTTACATCTTACAAAAATACCAAACTTTCTTTTATTGCTTCATCTTCACATTATTTTTATTCATTGCAGATCATTTTTACTGATGAAAATGGCAAACTGATATCAGTGATGTAAGATTTAATCAAATAAAACAAGTAGGCTGACTTTGTTTTTTCAAGTGATATAATTATGTTATTTTTAATTCCCAAAATTACTTTATTGAACTTTCTATGTGTATTTTACATTTTAAAAATGAAGACAGGTACAGATTCTAGCTATAAACCCAAATGTGACCCAGCATTTTCTTCAGAAAATGTCTGTACCAATATAAAAATAAGGAGATGTGGTATGATTGCCAATGAGACAACTATCCACAAAAGTTTAAATGAAGTGGATGTAAGCAATTATAGGCAACCGTACGGCCTTCAACAATGAGAAAAACCCATGCAGTATGGTCGGCCATATAAGGCCAAGTCAGGAATATGACATTTGTTTTCCATTAGTTCCGTTGATTGATATAGTCGAGCTTTTGATTTTGTTTATATTTATGGACCTTCCCCTTTATGGATTTACCTTGGAGTTTGTTATTTTGTTAATACTTTTTTACAGTATTAAATAATATTATGTGCAATTCAATTTACGACTTTCAACTAAATTAATTCCTACTCACTGAAAAGACGATAATTGCAAATTTTATTTTAAAAATTTTAAAATTGCTACGGTTACTTCTAAAGGGGTATTCGTATAAAGTGACAGTTTATGTATTATACATATTATGTTACAGTTTCTCCTAAGGTTATCGGTTAGGGACACATTTTATATATTATATTTTTTTTTGTATAAAAACAGGTTTCAATGAGTACATGCAATATAATACAAAGGGATACAGCCACATAGAGACATACTTGTTGAAATAAACACAAATTCGTAAAACAATTCATTTTATATATCTTCAATTTGATTCAAAGAAATGAATGTGTATATTACATATAAGAGAAAGAAATATGTTTTGCATGCACACGTATACAAATTGCAGTTTTTATCCAACGCAATCATAGGTTTGAACGTTATTTTCAATTTAGACTTGGTTATATATTATATATATATATATATTAAGATTTGGCATCAAACCTCAAGACTACCATTCAAATGTATTTTTCCATTTACGTATATTGGAAAAGAAGTAATATGGTGAACTAATTCATGTCACAAAATCTCTAAATTCTCGCAATAATGCCCAAAAGCAAACCAACGCAGTTGTACAATTTCAAGACCACCACAGATCTATATCAATGCATTAAAGACCACATAATGAAGCGGGGTAACTCATAGAGCAAAAGTAGGTCCAACACATATTGCCATATTTGCCTGACAATGTCATTATGAAATACGGAAACATTTAGACAACTATGTTTCACTGCTATATATTATATTTACTTTATTAACATGTGGATAGTTGATTAACGCTTATACTTATATACAGTTTTAATATCGTAAAGAAAAAATAATACGTATGTATAATGTTAATAGGGGAAAAAATGATACGAATTGTTTGAAAATTGTATAAATATATATTATGCGTTTAAATGAACATTAAGTACATACCTTTTAGTTAATAAGGGCGTGTGTAGTATTTCTAACATTTATCCAGAATATTGATAAGAACAAAAATATACTTTGTCCCAATCCATTGTATTAATTAAGAACAAAGCCAATTGGAAATTATCTTTATCCAGTGATATAAAATCAAACCCTCATCTCTTCATAGAAAGTAAATCCATTACGATATAAAGACTGTTAATAACTAACAGCCATCTAAACAGAAATGTTTGTCTTTTGTTTATCCGACTGTTAAATCACTGTACACGATTCCAGATAAATAAACTATATGTTCCTGTGTCCATTGGTCTGTAAAATTATTGTGTACACTTCCCTAGAAATACTAAATTCAATTTGCCATGCCGTTGCATCACTCATCGATATTTAGTAATGGACAGTTAACCGTCCGTATTCCTCTGCCAAACTAACAGTGTATCCGTAGACATAATCGCCAAACATTTTAAAAGGAAAATTTCTCCGTCTTTTGTTTTATATTTCATTAATGTGAAGAAAACATTATCTCGTAAAAATTAATTAACAGCGTATTTGAGATGGCTGGTAAAAGGATAAACCCGTTATTTCAATAGGAGTTAATGGTTCAGAAGACCAAGATTGAACCTATATTGGGATATTGATAGATCCTATAACTAAATCACCACTATGTTTTAAATTATGCAACATTTTCATAGGAAAGTGAAAATCTATTTGCCTATAAGTTGCATTACGCTTTCTATTATTCAGAAGTCTAGTAAATAACTGGCGGCTAATTCACTGAGCTGATCGACTGCCTGGAGAAAGTATACATAGATAATGAGAAATGAAAATTCAGGGGAGGAACCGCATGATACACTAACATGTAATGTTCTCTATTACTCGTATGCATCAAGGTCACGCCTGATTGAATAAACATAATTACAGGTACACTTGATTGTGAATGAGAAATAAGAAAAAGTCATTTGCTATTCTGTTTGTAGTAAAAAGTAAAAGACAAATAGCTTTAATCAGAAAAAAAAACAATCGTGATTCATTCTCTATACATCTAGATCGTTAATATATTTTGGGAGATTCTAGAGACAAATTTGATTCGTGTCAGAAATTCTAAAAAATCCTGATGCATAAAACAATCTTAAACAACTAAAGAAATACCAGAAAAAATACACGATTAAAACAACTGAAGACACACCAGAAAAAATACACAATTAAAACAAGTGAAGACATACCAGAAACGATACACAGTAAAAACAAACGAAGACACACCAGAAGAGATACAAAATTAAAACAACCGAAGACAATCCACAAAAGATACACAATTAAAACAACTGAAGACACACCACAAAGATAAACAATTAAAAAAACCGAAGACACACCATAAAATATATACAATTAAAACAACTGAACAACTGAAGACACACCAGAAAAAATACACAATTAAAACAACTTAAGATACACAAGAAACGATATACAATGAAAACAACAAAAGACACACCAGAAAAGATACACAATTAAAACAATCACTAAACAACTGAAGACAAAAAGAAAAAATACATAATTAAAACAACTGAAGACACCAGAAAAGATACACAATTAAAACAACCGAAGACACTCTGGAAACAATACACAATTAAAACAATCACTAAACAACTGAAGACAAACAGAAAAAATACATAATTAAAACAACTGAAGACACTCTGGAAACAAAACACAATTAAAACAACTGAAGATACACTAGAAAAAATACACAATTAAAACAACTGAAGACACTCTGGAAACAATACACAATTAAAACAACTGAAGATACACTAGAAAAAATACACAATTAAAACAACTCAAAACACACCAGAAAAGATACACAATAAAAACAACTAAAGACACACCAGAAAAAATACACAACGGGTACATACTCCACTTAAACTAGAATATTTCAGATTTCATTTTTTCGATGGCGTTATCAGTTTCTCTCGACTTGTGAGTTTCGATTGTCCCCTGGATATAATCCTCCTCTTTTTCACATCAGACCTGATCAGACTTAGCAATAAAAGACCATTATCCCTTCTCGGAATATATAGTAATCAAAGCTCCTCTGAAGGGATACAACTCAAGAAGAATGCAAATCTAGGGACTACACAGCCTCACAGAAAAAACAAATCGAGAGGAGATATATATATACGAAGGAAACGAGCAGGCGAAATACAGTTCCAAAGAAATACAACAAACCCATAGGAAAACAATTTTTGAGGAACGTAGTTCTAAAGAAACAAAACGCCATATTTATTCAGATCCGAAAGAAAATATTTCAATTGTTTAGCTGTAAACTTTTTTGATGAATACACATTTTGGGACATACAACTCGCGAGGAATACAACAATGGCAAAACCATGAAGAAATACTTCTCTTGAGAAACACAGTTCTGGAGAAATACAACTCTGGATAAATACTTCCCTTGAAAAATACAATTCTGGAGAAAATACAAATTCGGATAAATTCAATTCTGGGGATATCCAACTCTAAAAAAACTTTTAAACATTTCGATTCTGGCAATATACAACTCTGGAAAAATACATCCCCAGGAAAACTATGTAGAAATTCAAATCTTGAGAAAAACTTTCCTAAAGGAATGCATTTCTGGGGAAATACCTCCCTAAAGGAAAAACTCTGGAGAAATACTTCCTTTGAATAATACAACTCTGGATAAATACTTTCTATGAGAAACCGATTCTGGGGAAATTCATACCTTGAGGAATACAACTCTGTGGGGAAATCTCCCTTGATAAATAAAGTCGTATACAGCTTTGGAGAAATACTTCCCTTGAGGAACACAACCCCGGAGAAATACCTCTTTTGAGGATTACAACTCTGGAATTTGCCTTTGATGAATATACTTGTAGGGAAAAAAAACCTACGAGGACTACTATCCTGGGGAAATAAATACCTCGAAGAATACAACTCTGGAGAATTTTGTCCCTTGAGGAATAACCTCGGGGGAAATACCTTCCTAGGAATACAGCTCTGGAAAAATTCCTCCCATGAGGAATACAATTCGAGGAAAATACATACCTTTAGGGATAAAACTCTGGGTTAATACTCTCCTTGAGGAAAACAACACTTAAGGAAATACGTTGTTTAAGGAAAACAATTCTAAACTCTGGAGAAACATTTCCTTTGAGGATTACACCTCTGGAGAAAAACATCTCTTGAGGAATAAACTCTGGGAAATACCTCCCTTAAGGCATACAACTCTGGAGAAATACATCCTTTGAGGAATACAACTCTGGGGAAATACCTGCCATGAGAAATATAATTCTAGGGGAATACATACCTTTAGAGGTACAACTCTGGGGTAATACTCACCTTGAGGAAAACAACACTTGAGAAATACTTTGTTTAAAGAAAACAACTCTGGCAAAATAAACGAATCTTACACATGTGTATATTAATTACAGACGTCAAAACACAAACACAGTTACCGATATCAGAGTTTCAACAGTTGTCTGCTATAAGTATTATTGACAATCTGAAACGTCTACAATTTTGTTCATTGTTTATCAGTTGAACAACACATTCATCAGTTATGTGTTTTTAGAAATCCGGTATGCCTTTTATTTTATTGTTGAATGAATTAGTTTAGCAAGTTTGTAGTTTTGTTTTCACATTTGTTGTGCCAGTCAGCAATATGACAGTTGTTTTCCATTCGTTTGATGTGTTTGAGCTTTTGGTTTTGCCATTTGATAAGGGACTTTCCGTTTTGAATTTTCCTTGGATTTCGGTATTTTTAATATTATACTTTTTGTTAGAAAGTGTTTATTTTAATCAATATACCGCTCAAAAGTCTGCACTAGTACGATGTCATCCTAAAATATTTTTCTGATCCCTACCTCTTTATCAATAAAATTCACACATTGAAATAGAAAACCATTGTTTGCAAAATACAGCAAACTGTTTTGTATTGACAAATGAATTAAGAGAAGAGATATTTAAAGATTCGACAAAGTTTTTGTAAACATAAAAAAGGGAATTGACACTAAGCGGGGCAATCAAATCTACGAATAACCGACAATACAATCAAAAGCAATCTGGAAGATTTATCAATTTCAACATATCATAGAATGCTGTAGACATAATAGATGTGTTTACTCCATGCATGAAGACGACCGTATTTAAAGCCTAAGTAATATACTTTAAGTTATATCTTGATTAAGAGAAAAAAGAAAATTAGATAAAAATTGTATATTTACACAAGTCAGATATGATGTAGGCTAACTCCCACTGGTCCTTATCATTCATTTTATATAAACATTTAGTTTACTAGTCAAAATTGACTTGGCGACAAGGAAACATCAGACGTTAAGATCAAGTAAATATAACAATATTTTCTTAGAATGCATACTGTTGACTTGTACTTAAGACTGAATCTCTTTCCTTTTATCTATTATTTCAACTCACCGTCCGTCATCATCGAGTGCTATATAGCTCTGGTGAAAAAGTTTATGAAAGAACGAAACATATGGATTCCGATTACAGTTGCAACTTTCGTAATGCATTAATTCAAAGGGTAGTTTTTTTTCTAAAAGATCAAACCAAGTAATGTGCGTTTGGTCCAACAAGATTTTGGACATACAATTTCAGGACTATACTCGTAGTGCATTTTGACATCTTATTTTCGATTAAAGTTTTAACACAAAATCGTAAAGTTCGCTTCTTTTTTTTTTTAAGATTGCTTGTTTTTGTAGAACACTATTCAAGTGGTATAAGTGAATTTTAAGCATTTAACTAAAGCGTGACCGGTACCAGAAGATACACAATTTATTTTAACTCGGCGCGATTTACGTCTTGACAGTTTGTTAAGACGCCAGTCTACTGTTGAGATCGTAAATTGACCTTTTTCATGTCTTTCGGTTATTAGTTTCATTGTGGTATACCCCGTACCACCATATATTTTGTTCGAATGTATCAGAAGACAAATAAAAAATATAAAACACCTAAAATACAATGTAGTAGAACTTTTCCGTATTTTGGGTAATTTTTTTTAATGTCATCGACATTTTTAAAAACTTTTTTTTTTTTTTTAAAGATTTTTATTATATTTTCTCATAAATTTTGCAATTATATATTTGTTTTGACACGAACATATATGTTCATGTTGCTTGGTCTTTAGATTTCTGTATAATGTTTTGTTAGTGTTGTTTTTACTTAGGCCATGGTGTTTTCTGTTTTTATCAGACCTATGATTGTCAACAGTCACCTTGGTATCTTCTCTCTCAGATTGGTCAGATTAAAATATTGACCAGTACTTCTCTCTCCTTTTTAAAAGACCCACATGTTCAGATTAAAATATTGACCAGTCCTTCTCTCTCCTTTTTAAAAGACCCACATGTTCAGATTAAAATATTGACCAGTACTTCTCTCTCCTTTTTAAAAGACCCACATGTTCAGATTAAAATATTGACCAGTCCTTCTCTCTCCTTTTTAAAAGACCCACATGTTCAGATTAAAATATTGACCAGTACTTCTCTCTCCTTTTTAAAAGACCCACATGTTCAGATTAAAATATTGACCAGTCCTTCTCTCTCCTTTTTAAAAGACCCACATGTTCAGATTAAAATATTGACCAATACTTCTCTCTCCTTTTTAAAAGACCCACATGGTCAGATTAAAATATTGACCAGTCCTTCTCTCTCCTTTTTAAAAGACCCACATGTTCAGATTAAAATATTGACCAATACTTCTCTCTCCTTTTTAAAAGACCCACATGGTCAGATTAAAATATTGACCAATACTTCTCTCTCCTTTT